TTCCACTTCTCCATGCATTGACTACCCTTTTCATTGGAGTTGTGGTATGCGTGCGTTGGTACAAACTTGTGGAAGTGTGATTAGTCATGCCAAAACGACTCTATACCCACTTCGCATTGCTTTATGCCCCTTATTAATGATGGCGCGGCACCAACGAGCACCACCACATTGTTCGGTTGCTTCGTCGTAATGATCACACCGTTAAACATAGTGGAAGTCGCAGGGTCATTGCTTGGCGTGATAGAAAGTGACTGTGCGTCACCCGAAAGACAATGCATACCTGGGACCTATGATGCACATCGTTCAATGACACGTCGGAAAATCTGTGACGTTGGCAGGTGTGCTCCTGGTAACATTATCCGTAAACATCCGGGAAATGGTTCAAATGCAGTGAGATTGTCCAATGGGTCCAACCGGTGAACATTCTAGCATAAGTGCAACACGCAGTGCACCTTAAACACAAGCTCTTTTTCGCCATTTTTGGCGCCTGTTTGTCTATATACTTTTTAAAACTTGGATTCCATGTGCAACAACTCTTACTACACAATACATACGAGGCCACCGATAGATCGGCGAGATTTTCATACTGCAGTCTTAGGCGAGTGTTTTTCATTACCAATGGCCCCAAGATACAATAAAGACTAACGGAACTCAGTGGCTTTCCATCTGTCCACTTCCTCCCAAGTTCGTTTTCGTAGAGATTCACCAGTAAGACACTTGGCCGCCAGTGTTAGGCGGCCGTTCACATCACTGGATATCTTTGTAAGGAAGGTGCACTTTTCTGGTGCTGAGTCCACTGCATCACAGATGAAGCAACCGTTCCATCACACCGAGGCAAGCTGATGCATGTAATCCAATGGGGAGAACTTTATCATGTCCATACGAAGTGCCTCGCAGAGTGCTTCGTCAACGTTGTGTTCCCGTGGTCTATAAATTCAGACAAGAAAAACTGGCAACCGGATTCCGTAAGTTCTGCAAGTACACATCACAACTGCAGACACGAACTACGGAACACAGTCATCCCATCGGTGTTTACCTGCAACTTCAGCATGGTAGGTGGCTCTAAGTGCAACTGTTCACTGAATACCCTGCGAGTATCGCTCTACAAGCCAAGGTAACGACCACCTTTGGCAGATCGTTCCGGACACCAGAGTGCGGGCATCGCGTGGTAGTACAGAATGCATTGGACGCAGGTGACGCAACATGATGTTGATTCGGAAAGCAGAAATGTTGCCCTGCAGCGCGTTATCATCCTTCTCCTTATCAATACATGTTAGCCGAGGGTGAGAAACACACATCAGCTAATGTGACGCAATACAAAAAGGTAAGCTATTAAGCAATATAGACTCAAAAGCTATAAATGTAACATAACGCTAATCTCATATTTGTAATTGTTCTTGGAGTGGGAAGCTAAAGGGAAGGGGAAGGACAGCGACTCAAAACACAAGCGCCATTGAGATGGACTTTTCTTCAAGTCGGCTAGTGTATCCATACAAACGTGTTCATCGTTCTTCGTTCCCAAACCAGGCATTTGGGAAACACCAACCAACGCCAACTTCGAAGTGAGGGAATTCATTCCTGTTGATCAAGTCATCGTTTGACCTCCTCTCCACTTTCTCCATCCACCTACCCGGCGCGCAAACATTGCACGTCGCGGGAGTCGGTGTGCTGGCATGCGCAATACCTGGCCCAGCCATCGGAACCTGGTGCGTGATATAACGGTGATGAGCGGTTCACTCACTATTCCTGCACCAACTACGCGACGCCGAACACGCTCATTACTCACGCGGCGCTCCCACCAGATATGAGCTAAATTGCGAAGCTACCGGTGATCGAACTCTTTGCCTGTCGACTTGACGGGCCAGGTTTCACAACTGTACAGAAGGGTTGAACGGATGGCTGCATTGTAAACTCTGCCTTTCAGATCGAGAGTATTGTCACACCTGTGCCACAGCAGAAGCGCATCGAGCTTTCACTATGTGCTTCATGATCTCATCTTCCGTTCCACTGGCGCTGATATAGCTGGCCAGATATTTCTCGACTACTTTTAGATGATCACCCTTAAAGGTCGGCGCAGGAGTGGATCGCTGCCAGTTTTGGCGAATAACTTTGCTTTCCGACGGTGCAAAGCATAGCCCAAAACGACTGACGAAAGCGCTAATTTATCCAGTGCAACTTGGCACGTTCGGGAACTGTCACAGTTGAGCGCAAGGTCGTCGGCATACTCCAGGTCGAGAAGTCGTTCACCAGGGAACAGTTTCACACCTAAATCGTGCTCGGCGAACACCGTTTCCATGACTTTGTCGATGGCGATTCATCTTTGTTCGGGAATCATTGTAATGTTAGGTACAATATTTAGTTTCATGTATAGTGGCATGCTTTGATAGTTGTTAGCACACTCTTCGAGAGGTATAATGACTACACTTGTCGAGAAGATGGAGTTCGATCAGTTGTTAGCTTGTGGTGATGTTTCACATTTCTGTGGGGAACAGGCTGTCTGTTGCTGCAACATTACTCTTCCTTGTGCACTCACCCGTTTCACTTCTGGCATTTATGTTTCCTGGATGAATGCCAGCGCACCACTTGTCAGTTCCGGCCTCGGTTACAAGAGACTATGGTCTTTTGGTTGCCTGACTGATATGGTTCTCTTGAAGGTACCAGAGTATGATGAACTGCATTCTGGCTATCTGACAGTAAAATAAAATAATAAATCGTCAACTGTACGCCCTAAGGGTCCTTCGATGCCACGCGACGACCACCAGTCACGCGTGGGCTGAGTCTACCGCGATGACGCCCACCTCTACGCGGAATCGAACTGGTGACCTTATGGTTGCAAACCAGGCGCGCAGACCACTCGACCACTGGCTGGACGTTGAAAGTTCACAGATGTATCTGACCATTGTAGAGTCTTGTTTGAGGTCTAATAGCTTTTAACACATCAGTGGTCTGTTGTACCGTTGGTTCAAGATGCTGACCCTTTAGCAACTGGTCCATGGGTCACCGGTTCGAGTCTGCCTAGACGCAGCTACCTCATAGTCTCACTAGTCCTGGTGGTTGTCACGCGGCAGCGGTGCATCAATACGGTGTACTGATGCTAACGCCTTGACCAGGATGTGCTAATTTGTTCGTCTTACTCTGGGACTGAATTCGTCACTTGTCTTGTAAGGATATTTGAATCGTTCTCATTCTCGGCAGCTAATACTGCGCAGGTGCCAAAGTCGTCGGTCCTACTCTATATCAGTTTGAAACAGCCATACCACCTATTGGGCGGAGAAAATTGGTCTTCGAAAATTTAGCTGAGACGCCTGACTGTTTCCAGGTGAGGTTACATGGGTACTTTAACGAACCAAACCTTCGGAAGAGTAGTCAAGTGTATTGAACTACGTCTATCCGTGTCAGCTCAACCTGGACTTCAGTTGCTAAAACAGACACTGATAAGCTGGCCGATGAAATTTAGTCCACAAACCCTGCAATACAGTTTAGGGGTGTTCCACTTGCGACTGCTCACTGTATCATCTCGATATGCTTCTGTCGTGGGTGCTCAAATTGAGCCTGCTGTTACTGAGAAATAGGCTTTAGAGGGTTTTGAATATCATAAAACATTTTTGTGCCCAACTGGTAAGATACTCCATCATCGTCATCAGTTCTAACCCCCCTCTTATGCACTCACTTACATTTAGTATTGGAAAGATACCAACGGAATCGGCTGGTTTCTGCTTTTCTCCCTAATGCAGCGATATGCATGAAAGATGCGGATGAGTCAGTATGTACATAACAATAATTCCTAGGAACAATTGCTAATTGCAGTGTTTCAGTAGTGTCCAGATCGCGCTGACTTACTGCACCTTGGGAACTAGTGGATCTTTGTGCGCGCAACCACTTGATCCATGAACATCCTCTTGGTTGTGCGTCGTTCAAACATCCAGTCACACTCAGTGATGCCATCTGGGTTTCGGATACCCTTTTCAGTCCTGATTTGCTTTACCGTAACCTTATCAAAATTCTGCATCGCCGCTGTTAATGATGATCAGGCTTTATTTTTCCTGTTTGTTTTGCCATTGTGAGAGCACCTTACCAGTTGGTACGGCGGTTGATTGAGTTTATCCTGTTTGTATAAAAGATAATAATGTATCAGCTATACTCCGTAGCGGTGCTTCGCTGCCGCGCGACCACCCCCAGTCGCGCGCGGGCTGAGTATTCCGCGAGGACGTCCACCCGTACGCGGATTCGAACCGGAAACCTTATGGTTGCAAACGAAGCGCGCAGACCACTCGGCCACTGACCGGCTGTTGTAAACTCCAAGTCGCATTGGAACTCGTCTGCTAGTTACGCCAGCTTTTGACGCCTGTTCCACCGCTGTCTGCTCGGATTCCTGAGCACATTTCGCGGAACGCATCATCTGGAGGCCCCAGGTTGCCCGTTACTTTAATCACTCGGCGCCTGCTTGATTGTTCCATAAATCAAAACTCAGGGAACATTTAGGCTTATCAGTAGATACAATGGTGCAGCTTTATTTACTAATGTTTCGGCAATTCTGGCGGGTAAGGCCAATATTCATGTATAGCACCGTGCCTGATCAGTCTGTCTGTTGCCTTTGTATGGTGTAGGTCGCGTCACTGCAAATGGCACCACTGCTTGCTTCATTCTTTGTGTGATTATTGGTGTCAATTCGTTGTCATGCCCCGTAGTCGCTTACATTTTCTCGATGTTTATGCGCAGGCGGCTGATCGAGAATGTGTGAGATGGATTAAATTCTTGCTATCTTGCTGAAACGTTGTCCGTTTTTCTCAACTTGGTTACTCCGACCATAGGCACTAGTGCCAACGACGAAACTTATGCTTTCCTGTTTCTCGGCAGTTTCTCAGTGTATTCACCGTTTGCTTCCATATTTATATGTGATCTTTGTCTGCCTTGTGTCCATTTCCTGTTTCGTATAGCGGGATGAATTATTTCGTTTTGCTTGCTTTGTTCTACGTCAATCTTTTCACTTTCTCTTGCAGGTTGCACGCATGGGGCGACTCCTTGAAAGAAGCTTTCGAACAGGTCAGTCACTCAGTAGTATCCTTCCAACCGCACACAGATTGCAACGGCAATGTTTGGCTATATGACAACGAATTACGATTCTGTCGAAATGGTGGACACTTTTGAAACCGAAGCCACCGGTACGTCTTCGTTTTTTGTGTGCATTTCGATGGTCTCCTACTGTCTACCGGATTTTTTTTGCCGGTGGAGCACCTTTACAAAATGCGGTCCTATCGTGGTTGTGTTGCGGAATAGAACCCTTCGCTCTTTAGGCAGACAACCTGTCTATGCGATAACAGTGTGGATCGCCTATGATGGCGTCATAGATCTTGGGTTAAGCACAAGGCGGGTCTCGTGGACCCTCGCCTGGTAGGTGAGAGGAACCGATTGCACACATTTTGCTCACCAACGCTTTTTCCCGCCTCCCAGATTTACACCATTCCAAATGGAGATCTTCCTCGGTTAGTGGTGAGCGGGGGTACACACAGCTATAACAATGAAGACTGGTAGCTCGGGTGGTCCGATGGCTGTTGAACTGTTCGCTGAGCTTGGCAATTTTGTTGCAAACGTTTCGTCACCAATCGAGGTGACATAATCAGTGCGTAGTTGAAAGGCATGCAATAGCGGACGCTATTGCATTGTACGCTATTGCATGCCTTTCAATTACGCACTGATTATGTCACCTCGATTGGTGACGAAACGTTTGCAACAAAATTGCCAAGCTCAGCGAACAGTTCAACAGCCATCGGTACACACAGCATGTGCTCGAGAGAGAATACAGCTTATTCAGCTTTAGTCGTTGGCCTAGCCAATTACTCTCATCATCATTTCTATCTAAAACTGTGCCCGAAATTCTTTACTGTGCGATTTCTATCGCGACGAGACTAGACCTTAACGTTTTGCAATGGTTTGTGTGCCTCAGTGATCCATTGAGCTATGTTGGGTGGTGCTTTTTGCACCTTCAGAGCCACTCATACCAGATTGGTCAATGGTTACAGGCCAAGGAAACTCATTCTTCTGGCCCTCTAGGTTGGGGGTTGGAGTGAGGGTGGCTCCTTACTCCATAAAATGGGCTGTCTGTAGTCCATTGCCAAAACCCGCTGCCTTGAGGTAAGGTTTTTTAAACTAAAGGCTTTGGTTGAGAACCCTAATCGTTCTCCTGTCTAGGCATGTGCCACCTGACAGTATTCTGCCCACGCAATACAATGAATATTTCTTTTAACAATTTCTTGATGCTCTTACCGTCGCAGAGGATAATCAACAGCGCCCTATCTGCTGCATCGAGCAGGGTGGATATGGGTATGGATGCCACTCCTCAGGCCCTCCCGTCTTCTTGTTCCCCTTCTTGCGCTTCTCCATCCTTATCGTCTCGCTCCAACTTTACTTCCCCCTCATTTTCAACCCCTCAATTCTTGGCCTTCCCCCAGCTTGTTTCAATAGTCGCTTGTCTTCTGGTTTCAAATCACACACAGTCGCAGGACGTCGCTCCAATCCAGTCGGTAAGTCCATGTTCAACCAAGCGGATGTCAGTTCAGTTTCCCTTCGGAGTCCTCGAGTGTTGCTAAGACTGGCATGCCTCAACGTGCGCACTTTGCTACAGATTGGCCAATTGGCAGCACTTGCCCGCATACTAAAGACCCTATCTATCGATATTTGCTGTTTATCAGAACCCCGCCTGCAAGCTTCGAGCTCCATGCTTACTCTGCGATCCCCCACATGCGACACTGGTGGCACATTCTCATTGCACCTGTCTGGCGATGATGCAGCTTCAAATGCAGGCCAGGCTGGCATCGGCATTGTTTTGATTCCCTGGACTGAAGCTGCCCTGATCGATTGGATCCCACTTAACAGTAGGATGTGCGCCGTTAGATTAGCTGGTTCGTTCCATGTTACGAAGTCGCGCGAAAACAAACGGTTCCTTTTTGTCAATGCGACCTACACCCCTACAAACTGTACCACTGATTCGGTGAGAGATGATTTCTATCAGCAACTTCACGAACTCCTTCGTTACAGAAGAAGCACGGATACTGTGTTGCTGGCTGGCGATCTAAACGCCCAAATCGGAAAATTATCCTCTGATGAGCTTCATCAGAGCGGCCAACATGGTGTAGGCTCCCGTAATGATAATGGTGAGCGATTACTACAGCTGTGTGAAGATGCTCGCCTCTTTCTCGCGAGCACTAACTTTCGACACAGCACCCGCAGAAGTGTGACTTGGCGGCCACCAGCCTCGGGCCAGTCGTGGACGCAGATCGATCATATCGCGATCAGTTACCGCTGGAGAGGCTGTGTCCAAAACTGTCGCTCGATTTGGAGCACGAGCGTAGACTCTGACCACGCACTTGTCTGTGCCGACCTCCTGGTGCGTTTCGGTGGACGTCCGCAACCTCGATGTGAACGGATTGACACCAGCCAGCTGGCGAAGCCAGATGTTCTGAATGTGTACCAAAGTGCGCTGTCATCTGGGCTAAGTAAGCGCCCACTAAACACCGTCGAAGATCATTGGTCCCATATTCATCAAACGTTACTGTTAGCAGGCATGTCTTCATGTGGCAAATCAAATTGTCAAACCGGACATTCGGTCTCTACGTAGTCTCTGGAATATAAAGCTGCTCGCCGACATATTCCGGCTGGAAGCGTATACAATGAGTCTCGCAAAAATCTGAGACTGATGGTGCAGATAGAATTTCCCCACCTGTCTACAAATTCGGGAGACCTGCTCTTGTAGATGATTTACGCGAGTTGCTAATGCAACTTTGGGAGCTGGAGACTGTCCCGACAGACTGGAACCACTCCGTCATAGTCCTAATTTTCAAGGGAAGCTCCCGTTCGGAATGCGGCAACTGTAGATGGATCAGTCTGATCTCGATTGCCACTAAATTATTTGCGTATGTCATTCTCCACAGACTGGCACGCGTGAAAGCCAGATTCGTGAAGAGTAAGCCGGGTTTCGTCGAGGTCGGGGCTGCATCGACCACATCTTTACTTTGCATGAATTGTTGGAGCCCCGCCATGTTTATTGGCGAACCACCGTTGTCGTTTCTTGAAATAAGGTGCATTCGATCTAGTCGATCAATGTGCCCTTTGGGACTGTCTGCTGAGGAAAGTTGTGCCTGATAAATAGGTAAACATTATCGAAGCGCTGTACGCGCATAGTTTGAGCAGTTAGGGTTTATGGCAAACTGTCGCCACCCTTCAGTATCACCAGCGGTGTGAGACTAAGTTGCCCGCTGTCACCTTTCCTCTTTAACTTCGCTGTTGATGAAGTCATGGAAACAGCGTTCGCTGGACACGACCTAGAAAGTGTGGAGCTGCTTCCTGCTGAGCGACTTCTTGACTTAGAGTATACGGACGATATTGCCCTAACCTGTGACAGCTCCCAAACATGCCAATCAACACTGGACCGATTAGCACCGGCTGTTCATCGCTTTGGGCTATGCTTTGCTCCATCGAAATGCAAAGTACTTCTCCAAGATTGGCAGAGACCCAACCCTGTACTAGAAGTCGTTCAGGAATTCAAGTACCTGGGCAGCTACATTAGCACCCGTGGGATTGCAGATGAGGTTACGAACCGTATAGCAAAATCTCGAGGCGCTTTTGCCAATCTCCGCCACCTGTGGCGCATACGCGACATTACTCTCGCCCTGAAGGGCAGAGTTTATACCGCAGCCGTCCCTTCAGCTCTCCTATATGGTTGTGAAACCTGACCCATCAGGTTGAAAGACATAAAGGGGATCATCACATTCGATCATCGCTGCCTCCGCAGCTTAATTTATGTCTGGTGGGAGCACCCCGTGAGCAATGAGCGTGTTCGGCCTCGCGTATTTGGTTGAGGAAGAGCGAGTGAACCGCTCAGCACCATTATATCACGCACCGGTCTCCGAAGGTTGGACCAGGTGTTGCGTATGGCAGCACACCGACTTTCGCGTCGTGCATTATTTGCGCTTTGTGGGTGCGGTTAGAAGAGGCGGAGGGGATGTCAAGCGATGACTTGGTCGAGAGAGATGAAAACACACACTTCGAAGTTGGTCTTGGTTGGTGCATCCCGACTGCCTGGCTGGGATCCTAAGGACGGTGAACACGTTTGGTTGGACACACTTGCTGATATGTCTTGGAGCCGGCCCCATGGCGTTTGTGTTGTGAGTTCTTTTGTCCATCCCCCTCCTGCTTAGCCTCCCTCTCCAATCACGATCGCATTCGTTAGGCGTAACTGTCTTTTCGCCGCACGACAATCGCCTGTTAGCTCTCCAGAACGATGTGCGTCCGTTACTGGGGACTCAGCCGGCGTGCCACTGTTTGTTTTCCTTTTCTTGTCTTTTGTATTGCGGCACAATAGCTGGAGTGTTTTCCACCTGCAGCTTATGTGTATGATGAATGATGCATTGTACGATTTAGTGGCCAACGTGTTGGATTGCCTTCTCAATGGGACTTGGTGCTCCTGACTTGCTCAACCTCTGCGATACCTGGCGATGTGCTGTGTACGAATCACCATCGCCAGTGTGATGATCACGCACTCCGCATTGATTGTCCACAGGTATGTGCGTAAATGTCTGTCTATCGCTCACCCTCTGATTGACGAGTTGTTCTCAACGATTTGATCCATACGCTGTACATGGTTCATACCACGATACAAGATGCGCGTTGCCAGCTTGTGTGTTCGGGTACCTTTGCGTCGTTTCGACTATGGGCCGTTGTAAGAACCCGTGGCAGGCGGCAATTGTCTA